TGACTTGAAGATAGGTGTTGATGCAGAGCTGCTGTGGCTGTTTATTTTTGCTGTTATTCATTCTTGATGTATTGATTGGTTTTCTGGACTGTATTGTTTGCTGTTTACCCTGTTGGGTTGAAAGTGAAGTCTGTTCACTTTTGCCTATTGTTTTCTAGGTTCGAGGTTGAGTGGGACTCCCTTGCCTCGCTTGTATTGTTGCATCCATGCATTTTACTGTTTTACTGTATATATCTGATATTGTTTCTGTTTCCGTCTATTCCCTTAGGATCTCTGTTTCTCTCTGCGCAAGAGAGGAGCATGATAGACACTAGGTCTTAACCCATGCATGATAACATTAGGTTAGTTTGATTCCCTTCACAACCGTAGGTTAGAGTTCTGTCTCTTCTTTCTCACAACAAACAGAAAAACACAATAAATATTTCAAACACAATAAAAAACACTTCTTCCGTAAAAGAATGTGAACTCATCAAAACGTCATTTTTGTCCGCTTGGACTGTTAATCAGAAAACCCTTTTTTTCAGGAGGAATAAAATCAACCAAGACAGACTTGTGTCGTGCGTGGCCCGAACTACGTTTGCTATGATCTTCCATGCAGTGTGGAAGTACGTAGGCATAGGATGCGATATCCTAGCGAGCAACCTTCCCCTCCTTTCCCGTAGGTAGGCGAACTACGTTGACTCTGATTTCTCGTTCCAGACGGGAATACGTAGGCATAAAGTGCGATAATTTGCCGAGTCATTTTATTTTCATTTTATCTTCTTTTAACCCTTGACCTTTAGTTTAGATAGAATAACAATCCATACCCGAAAACAAGCGTGGATCCCGTCGAGTACGACGGATGTGAGGGGTGCTAATACCTTCCCCTTGCGTAACCGACTCCCGAATCTAGGTTTTGGTAGCGATGACCATACCTTTCCCGTGTTGTGCGAGGTTTACTCTGAGCGTTTCCTTTCCCTCCCGTGGGATAAATAACGCACGGTGGCGACTCTTCTGTTCAGCCGGCGCCGATTTTCGCAGTAGCGACACCCTCAAGTGTGAGTCTATCTCAATGCTCTCCCTTAAGCGAAAACTTTAACTATGCAACTGCACCCTTGTACCGCCGTTGACATTCTTCAACGAGACACTCAACCCACGACCTATGGGGATACTTTCGATACAAGTAAGTCGTTCCCTTTATTCGAACCAAAGGCTCATGATACAACTGTTAGACTTTCAACTAGGGAACATTGAACATAGTGAGACTTTTTCTAGAGAAACCTTTGTGAGAGACACACCACATACTCATCCAAAACCTTAAGGTGATAGGTGTATGGGTTCTCTCATTACTTACAAGTAAAAACAAGTAGAAAGTTCAAACATTAATAAAGAAGATATTGAAAACATAAACAATAATACATAAACAGATTTTAAAACAAAAACTATAGTGAAAACGAACCAGTAAATAGAAATTGGCTAAGATTTGATGTTATGGTTTTATTTTGGGCTTTCCATATGAGAAACACGAGTGACAGAGATGTTAGGATTTTGTTTTAAGAGAGATGAGTGAAAAAATTGTTATAGTTTTGTTTTAGAGAGATGATTGTTATTTACTGAAACGAGAGATAATTTCGCTTATATATAAATAAGTAGAACTTTTTTACCACGGTTGACAACAAGAACCATGATGAAATGATTAAAACTTACACCACAATTGATTATAAAAACCGTAGTGATATATAAGGTCAATCACATTATTATCACTATAAATGGAAACTTGTTGGTGTTGAGATTCGAACAATTTCACTCTATGTACATTTCACTAGGGTTGTTACATATGACCATTGTGATATGTCCTTTATTAAATACAAAATAAAAGTTCCCAAAAATAAACTATTACCACGATTAACATGAAGACCGTTGTAAAATTGATGTTACGAAAAGTCTATTTTGTAGTAGTGACAACAACAATAACAACAACAACACACAAACTTGAATATTTCCTTACTAACTAAAAAATCTTAAATATTTTTCTGTCTTGCAATCCATCTAAGATAATAATGTTTATGAGTTTGAGAGGAAGAGGATGTGTTAGGTTAGAGAAAAACTTAATAAACATATGCTTTTATAGAAAAAATGAGTAATATTTCTCGTCACTGATAGGATAATGGAAAGAATAGAATAAAATAAAAAAGAAATAAAACATAAATTGCAGTTATTAGGATTCAAAGCGTGCACCTTAGTTACTTTATCCATCTGTTTTGCATTGCAACAGAGGGAATAAACTTATATATATATATATATATATATATATATATATATATATATATATATATATATATATATATATATATATATATATATATATATATATATATATATATATATATATATATATATATATATATATATGTTTTAATTAAAAATATGGCACTATCAGAATTTATACATCAGTTATGTTTGGGTGAGATGAAGGTTTTGTTATAAAATGTATTATTTGTAGTAGTGATAGTTCAATAGACATGACTGGATGGAAAAATGCAGAAGATATGACCGATTATCTAGTGTCATTTTCAACCCCATCCAATAAATAGAAGACATTGGTCTCCTTATACCACGTCGCATAAAAAACAATAAGCAAGTTGGGCTTAATTTGACTATAGCCCATTGAGTCAAGGCTAGACAGTACCTTTGAGGTCACAGGTTTAAGTATTATTTAGTCATTTTTTATAATTTTATTGTCATATTTAAAAAAAAAATCACTGTTATATTTTACATAAAAAATCACCAACGAATCTTGAACTTGCGACCTAAAAAAATAGTATATTTTTGATAACCTTATTCCACCACACCATAACATGTATTTTATAAAAGAAAAAGTCAAAGGTCTCAAAAGGAAAAATTACAAGAACTTACAAATTAGAATTCAAGCCGGATCACACCTCCAATCCTCTCAACAATAGGAAATATTGTTATAAAAGAAGTGTTATACCAATTCCACGAAGAAATTTGATCCTATCGATGAACTCCAAAATTTCTAGATCTTCATGTTTGAAAATAATCGCATTTTGATTTTACCAATGGATTCAAACAATTTCTGCCCAGGACAAACCAAGAAGTTTGTCAAGAAATCTCTTTTTCAACTTTAGACAAATCAAAGTCAAATAATCTGCCAAGGAACAATTGTCTTCCTTCATCTCTATTTTCAACCAAGAAAAAACATCATTCCAAATAGCTTTACTAATCACACAATTTTTGAAAAGATCTAGCTCATCTTCCACCATATCGTGACAAAAAGTACATGCTCCATTATTTGCTTCCGGAAGAATATTTGTTTTGATCAATTGAACTTTGGCCGGAAGGTCTTCCATAAATATTCTCCATCAGAAAACTTGAATTTTACTAGGAATTTCGACTTACAAATCAAATCTAAACCAACAAGAGATGCATAATCCATTACGAAATCCGCATCCAACTGCTTCTAAAACTCTGTATAGCTACTGCTGACCGAAAAAAACAATATTGTTCCACTACCAGATAAAGCGATCTACACAATAAAAAAAAGAAAGGATGGTATAGAATAAGCGATAAATACTCCAATTGATCACAAACATCTCCAATTAAGTCTTCATCCCTCATGTTAAAGATCAAGCCCAATAACCATTCGTCTGAATCAAAGCCTCCCCAACTTTAACGTCCTTGTTGACAACCTAAGAAAGGACGTAATATATTATTACCCCTAAGAAAACTATTCAAGCTCGGTCGCCTAATGCTTGCATTGTTTATTATGTTTAAGTAGATATATTGTACGTTTGATTTGACTTTGGAAATATGCACAAACAAGTTTAGAATTATAGAATTGATTCTGGAGTGATTTTGAGGTGTTTGATTCTTCTAAAGCAAAATTGATTCTACTTGAAGGTAAAATTTGTAGCTTCTGAGTTTAAACATTATTTTTACACTGAAATTTGTTGTTTAACTATAAATCAATAATGCTAAACTCAATTTTGTTGAAATCAATTTTATCAAACTCAATTATATCAAAATCAATTTTGTTCACCACCAATCCAAACATAGTGTATGTTTGGTTTGATTTTTGGATGAGGCAAAAACAATTCTAGAGATGTATAATTGATTTTAGAGTGTTTTAAACATATTTGGTTCTTCCAAAGTAGAATTGATTCTACTTGAAAATATAATTTATATAGAGAAATGGTAATAACACTTTCTTTTCAACCCTCTCTTAAACATTCACTCTATCATCGGTTAAAATATGTGTGGATCCTACTACTTTATGTGGGACCTATTTACAAAGTGAGAGACCCACACATGTTATAATCAATAAAAAAGTGAGTGTTTGAGAGAGTGTTGCAAAGAGAGTGTTGTTAGCACTTCTCAATTTATAAATTTTAATTTTAAATGTGATTTTTTTTATTGAAATTTTCTGTTCATCCTAATTTTAAATAAAATTATCTAAACATAAATCACTTTACACTCAATTCACTTTTAATCAGAATCAATTTTATATATTCAATTTATTCAAAATAAATCTTTTTCAAACCTAATGTTAAATTTCTTGCCAAGAGAGCTACCAAGACACTTTGTAATATAATATTTATTTTTTAATTAATAAGCTTTTATTGGTCAAAGTTTCAATGAGCTCAATAAAATTGTGTGGGAGTAAAACGAATATAAATTACAACCAATATTAACGGTTGTGTCGAAAAATATGTTAGAGATTGTTTTGTTGGCACTTTTATTTTTGTAATATAGCTTAGATCCTTCAATGAAGCCAAGAAAAGAAAGGAAAAAAAGTAGAGAGAATATGAAAAAACAAAACTGAAGATATTTAGCAGGACCTAATTTTATACAAATTAGGAAAATATTATAAAACTATTCTATATATAATACTCACACTTGCCATTATTTAGGCAAATCTAAATTATAAATAAAAAACAAATGCTTCCTTCCTTCTGTTATCTACAAGGATGGAAATCAAGCATAAGATCTGAACATTGCTTCTAATTACTTGCACAACTGCACTTTGCCTTAGTGTCTGATAACATCTGCATGATGAAAAACAAAAATACATGATAAGACAATTTAGAATTTATTGCAATAATTGAAAAAGTATAAAATGTATTGTATTTGTGTAGTTACCTTAAGTTGTTTCCTAAGGTCTTTAATGTAATCAACTGCTACATCCAACATATCTGCTGTGCTACTTTGCTGCCAACACAGAATTATAAGAAATAAGTGCACGTGAATTAGGGACCAGAAAACGCAGAGGCTAAAATTTGTCACAGTTAAATAGAAATTCTATAAGACTTCTAAAAATTTTAAGCCGACCTTGAGTCTAATATATATAAAACCTATAGTACCTTATTTGAGTTTGGGAAAAGGTCTTGCAATTTCTTGATTCTTGCACTAATTCTTATTCTTCTTTCCTGCAATATGCATATCAAGACAACAAGTGAAGAAGCTCATTAAGTTGAAACAAATGTGTTTATATGACTTGTGATTATTAACAAGGTTAGAATTTTACCCTCTCTGCAATGCTTCTTGGGTGAGTGGCAAAGCCTCTTTTGGCACGAATTTTAAATGGAACAGATCCTTGAATGTGAAAATACTTGTCCATACTAGTCATCTTGGCAGAAGAGCTTGGCAGACTCAAATGGTGGCTCAAACCAAGTTTTTGGTATCCAAAGTCTAATTCCTAGTAACATAAAATTTCACTTATTATCAACATTGAAACAGACTTTGACGCCAACCGAACACGACACCACCACCGACACATAGATACTAAATTTATACAACATAAGCAATTACATGTAATCACAAATGTCAATGTTTGTGTTATCATTGGACACTGACATATGTCAATCGCAGATTTAATTTGAAGTTGCTGATAAATAAAATTTCATCGTCAATACAAAAAATTTACACAGGTTTGTTTTATGTACCTGAGTTTCCAAAGCATTTGAGGTGGAAAACATGATTTCACCATTAATAGTGGATGTTTTTGGGGGATTGAATGTAGAACTATCCCAGCAGTCAGTAGTGAAGCTAGGCATGTAACATTTTCCAATGTTCTTACGTGCTTCATGTTCATCATTTTGAACAATTAGTGGCATGTTGATAGAGCAAGAGGATTGTGTAGATGAGAAATTCATAGAACCATTATGAAGTGAATAATTGGAGAAAAACTCAGCAGGGGAACTCTTGTGCCTAATGAGATTGGAGCAATTCCTAGTAGAAGAATCAATGTTAGTTTCTGTGTCATAATTCTCTGAAGCCAAAAATGAAGCATCAAAATCGTTAAGCAATCCTTGATTCTTCTGAGTCTGGTAAATCATCTGATTTGAGGCTAATACATAAGAAGAGTAACCATTGTAGTGTGATGAAAAAGGTTCATTTTCTTCTTGTTTCACTAACACATGTTGAGAATCGGTAAACATTGTTTCCATTTCTGAACTTGTGGAGGGACAATAATATTGCTGATTATCATTTCTGAAAGTTTCTTGATTCATAAAACCAATGGTTGTATCAACAAGGCTTGACTCAATTTGAGGAAGAAAGTTGAGTTTTTTGTATTCCTGTTGGGATGTATTTATATAGTATGATGTTCTATTATTGCCCTTATGTTTCATCATTATTAACGAGAATGCCACTTAACGAACTAAAGTGGAACATGACAATTTTTGTTTGTTTGTTTTGTTATATGTTGTGTTGTCTATGCTTTATTCAACTGTGAAAATGTTTGTGTTATTATTTTATGTTAGTGGGATAACCGTGTCCGTGGGCACGTGTAAGAGACTCATTTTTTAGCACGTTTGATCTAAATAGACGGCTGTGTGCACGTGTCTGGATACCTATTATCCAGATCTTGGATTCATAGTTAAATTTTATTTAAAGACAATAATATAAACATATAAAAGAGGAGTACATGGTTCAAAGTACAAGAGTTGAAATAAGATAGTACAAGATATACAAAATTAAAAATACAGTAAAATAAAAAGAAACGGATGATAAATCTAAAGAATAAATGAATAGAACAAATCATGATAAAGCTAAAAAAAAACTCAATCTCTATAAGTTATAGTCTAAAAAAAGAAACAAGCCATCATCAATAGATTAAAGATCATCAAAAGAAGAATTAAAAAAGGTATAGGATTCTTAAGTCATTAAAAAGAGTGTATGGGCTTTCCAATTATCTATCCTAAAACTAGTTTCTATGGCATAAACATTTTTTTTCCACTTCTTTCATGTTTGTCGAAGAATTAGAAAATGTAATGTTATTTTAAACCCTTAGAATAATTCAAACCACAACATGACAAATTATAGCAAAATCACCTCTAATATTTGTTCCATCACCTAAAGAAAGAAAATTCTACAAAAAAGAAGCCCAAGATGAAGGCTCAATATCAAGCATCACATAGACACAAGCACGGAACAGGTGAAGCCTCGCATGAGCTGAGAACACAAGATTTTGACTTCCAACACATTTCCTACCATTAGATCTAATTGGACGACAATTCACACGTGGCGTCGTATCTCGTAGAAATGATTTTAACAATTCACATTCTATAAAGTCTAACACACACCATTTGTGATATTCTCTCATTCACACAATAATATTACTTTATCACCCATTCCCTGACTTGGATGTTGGAGTGGTAACCTTACAGGTCCATCCTTGCTCTGTCGTGCTATAAGCTCACTCCAACGCACTAGAACTTCATTCTGTTCGATCTCCACCTATTTTGATTCTAGTTTAGAACACAACCCATACAAAATTGTGTATCTAGATCCAATAATCGAGTTTATTGGTCCACAATCCAATTATATGAATAACTCACGAGAGGGGCTAAAACAAATATCACGCCAACTTTCAAGGAGGAAAAGACTATTTAAGCCAGAATTTTGTATTTGTATTCATATCGTCATCTCTAACCTTCATACAAACACATAATTTCTTCAAATCCAAAATTGCTGTTGAAATTGATACTATAACATCAAAGACTTAATTGTAGGTTGAAGAAATGCTATAAAATTCAAGAAGACAAAAAAAATACAAAAAAAACAAAAAAACAAGATATGTTGGATGATGGTGAATATTGTGAGAGAAAAAGTGAATAATAAAGCTACATAATCAAAAAAAGATTTTGAAAAAATTATGGGTTTTGTTATACCTTAATTTTCATCCCTAAGATCTCATCCTCTTTTTTCATTTTTGCATACAACCAAGATCACAAGCTTGGTTACTTTCTTACCCTCTCATCTTTGTGTTTGCTTTTGGGATCACCAAACACCTCTTTGTGTATCTTTTTTCTTTATGTTTCACTAACCACTAATCAAAATGCCAAAAATATGTCTTGTATCCTTTTGTTTCTTTGCAAGGTAGGATGATATATCAAGGACACCAAACATGATTCATCGGCTAGGGTTTTGCTCCCTCAAGGTTAAATTTTAGTGAACCATTATTTCTCAAGGGATATCTCATCAAATCATGGCTTCTAATATCCAAGTAAAAGGTTTAAAGCATCATTTAATCTCATTTTGATCAAAGATATCTCAACGCTTAGTAGCTTATCTCTCAAGAAAAGTCAAAGATTCATGTGTTTATTTCCACACCTTCATCAACAAGTTACCTCAAGCTTCGGTCAATTTAATCAAAGGATATTCTATGACACATTATCTTGAGTTCATATGATTATCCATGTGCTTTGAAATGCAAGGAAAGTCCAAGTTTACAAGTTGATTCATGGAAGTTTGACCTAAAAAGTCAATATTTCAAGTCAAAGTTCCAAAGATCACAACTAATTCAATTCTTAATATTTTTGAATGCTTCTTTTTGCATATGAATCTTATTAACACCCTCTTAAACTCCTCTTTACATTACAAGAGCCAATTATGGTTGGAGGATCATCAAAAGTTTGAAGACATTAGAGGTCATTTGTGGACTTAGTGAAATTTTGCTTATTTTCAAGTGATTTTTTCTCAACTTTCAAGGATCAAAGCTTCTTCAATTTTCAACATATGGAGCTCATTGTTTTTTCACAATATCATTTGTTATACTCTCTACAAGATTGCTTCAAAGGTCAAAGTCAAATTATGCTAGGAAGGCCATGGAATTCATTGATACATTATAAGTAATTTTCAACCATTTGGACATAGAATATTTCAAGTTTGGTTTGCCATATTTTTATTCCAAATTCAAAATGACATAAATTTGTGCTCAAGCATCCAAATAAAAACTTTCTTGGCACATTGTGATCTTTTCCATGATGTTAGCAAATGCAAAAAGAATGGGATAAAAAAGCCTTTTGTACAAGATGCCCCATGGATATCAACATGGTTACTTGAAACTGAAGTTTTTCACCATGATCAGATTTTTACCTCAACAAAAACTCAATTACAAAATAACCACGTGTTTTGGACCTAAACATGTTTAATCAAGTTTGCAGAAGTTAATTGACTCATAAAATGCATGATTTAGATGAGTTTTGGGCTAATTCAAGTCTGAATTTTTCCATGACGAGGGTGCACAGAAATTCACTCAATTCTGGATCATTCCATCCCTCTCATCATTCAATCATCTTTAGCTATAAGTAGAGGATCATTCCACACTAAAAACCAAGCTTTTGATAGCCAGAAAACCCCTGCTCCTCCTTCAAAATTTCTGCAAAAAAGTGAGCTATCGTGTTTTCATTTCCAGGAAATTTAAACTCATTTTCTTGATTCAGTTAGCTTCATCAAGTTCCTATGAAGCTTCATAAACAATTCTCAAGCTCCAAGAGTCCCTGAATTTCTCCAACTAAATCCAGTTTCAGAGCTTCTCAGGTCGTTTTTGGACAAGGTAGTTTGAAGCTATATTTTCAATCAAACAAGTTACCCCAATGTAGTTCTTTGCTTGCTGAATGTTTCCTCTAACCTAGTTGGTTTTGATTCATCGTGTGCATCATTTAATTTTTGTTTTTTTTGTGTTTGTGTGTTCTTCTAGTTTCCCTCAAAATTCTCTCTACTCCCTTTCAATAAATGTAAATAGAGAGCGAGATTGAGCATTGGCCAATGGATTGAGCATTGGACAAATATTCAGCACAAAACTCAATTGCTTCTTCAAAAATGTATCGTTCAACAATACATCCCTCTGGTCGACTTCGATTTTTCACATACCCTTTCAATATTTTCATATAATGTTCAACAGGGTACATCCATCTCATATAAGCTGGTCCACACAATTGTGTCTCTTTCACAAGATGAACAACTAGATGTACCATTATGTCAAAAAAATGATGGAGGAAAATACATTTCAAGCTCACACAAAGTAATAACTATTTCTTTTTGAAATGTTGGTAAGATCGCAAGATTGATCACCTTACTACAAATTGACCTAAAGAAATAACACAATTTAGTTATTGTGCTCCTTACTTTTTCTGGAAAAATAGAACGTATACCTACTGGTAGAAAGTGTTCCATTATAACATGTCAATCATGTGTCTTTAAACTCTTTAACTTGAGGTCTTTCATAGACACAAGTCTTCTAATATCTAAAGAGTATCCTTCTAGAACTTTAACTTCACTTAGAAACTTACACAATATCTTTTTCTCCTTTCTAGATAAAGTATAAGTAGCAGGTGGTAGATATGTTCGATTTCCTTTCTTCAAGGGTCCTAACTCATTTCTTATTCCCATCTCTACCAAGTACTTTCTTACTTTAAGGCCATCCTTAGACTTTCCTTGTATATCAAGTAACGTACCAATAATACTTTCAAATACATTTTTTTTCAATATGCATAACATCAAGAAAATGTCTTACATACAACGACTTCTAATACAGAAATTCAAAAAAAATTGACCTCTTCTTCCACCCATGCGTGACAAGCGTATGAGCAAAAGGATTGCCAAACTTAATACTCACATCTTTCACATTTTCAAAAATTTGTTCACCTGTCAATGTAGGTGGAGCTCTACCTTGTTCTAAATTTCCATTGAATGCTTTTCTCCACCCACGGTAGTGATGATTATAATTTAAGAATCTACGATGACCAAGAAAGACATTCTTTTGACCAAATTCCAATCGCGTCCAATCTGTGTTTTCTTCACAGATAGGACACACACATTGACCTTTAATGCTATACCCTGATAGATTTTTGTATGCTGGAAAATCATTAATTATGCCAAACAACACCACCCTCAAATTGAAACTTTCTTTCCTATATCCATCAAAACCTCCACACCGTTCTCCCACAAACTCTTTAAGTCTTCGATTAAAGGTGTCAAGTATACGTCTATGTCATTCCCTGGTTGTTTAGGACCAGAAATTAACATAGATAACATCATGTACTTACGCTTCATACATAGCCATGGAGGTAGGTTATAAATCATAATAATTACAGGCCATGTGGAATGTGAGATACTTTGTAGACCATGCGGATTCATTTCATTAGTTGATAATGCCAAGCGAAGGTTTCTAGCTTCTTCGCCAAAATCAGGATACTCATTATCAATTTTCATCCACTATGGCGAATCTGCCGGATGTCAATACTTTCCATCTATAATTCTATCATCTGCATGCCAAGTCAAGTGTTTTGCATCTGTTTCATTACGAAACATGCGTCTAAATCTCAGAATTATAGGAAAATACCATAAG